TTATAAACAACATCCCTGACTGTACCTGTGTCTTATAAACAACATCCCTGACTGTACCTGTGTCTTATAAACAACATCCCTGACTGTACCTGTGTCTTATAAACAACATCCCGGACTGTACCTGTGTCTTATAAACAACATCCCTTACTGTACCTGTGACTTATAAACAACATCTCTGACTGTACCTGTGTCTTATAAACAACATCCCTGACTGTACCTGTGTCTTATAAACAACATCCCTGACTGTACCTGTGTCTTATAAACAACATCCCTGACTGTACCTGTGTCTTATAAACAACATCCCTGACTGTACCTGTGTCTTATAAACAACATCTCTGACTGTACCTGTGTCTTATAAACAACATCCGTGACTGTACCTGTGTCTTATGAACAACATCCCTGACTGAACCTGTGACTTATAAACAACATCCCTGACTGTACCTGTGTCTTATAAACAACATTCCTGACTGTACCTGTGTCTTATAAACAACATCTTTGACTGTACCTGTGTAGTATACACACTTTATACTACATCCCTGACTGTACCTGTGACTTATAAACAACATCCCTGACTGTACCTGTGTAGCATACACACTTTATACTACATCCCTGACTGTACCTGTTACTTATAAACAACATCCCTGACTGTACCTGTGTAGTATACACACTTTATACTACATCTCTGACTGTACCTGTGTCTTATGAACAACATCCCTGACTGTACCTGTGACTTATAAACAACATCCCTGACTGTACCTGTGACTTATAAACAACATCCCTGACTTTTCCTGTGTCTTATAAACAACATCCTTGACTGTACCTGTGTAGTATACACACTTTATACTACATCCCTGACTGTACCTGTGACTTATAAACAACATCCCTGACTGTACCTGTGTCTTATAAACAACATCCTTGACTGTACCTGTGTAGTATACACACTTTATACTACATCCCTGACTGTACCTGTTACTTATAAACAACATCGCTGACTGTACCTGTGTATTATACACACTTTATACTACATCCCTGACTGTACCTGTGTCTTATGAACAACATCCCTGACTGTATTTTTGCCTTATAAACAACATCCCTGACTGTACCTGTGACTTATAAACAACATGCCTGACTGTACCTAGGTAGTATACACACTTTATACTACATCCCTGACTGTACCTGTGTCTTATTTATAAACACATCCCTGACTGTACCTGTGACTTATAAACAACATCCCTGACTGTTCCTGTGTCTTATAAACAATATCCTTGACTGTACCTGTGTAGTATACACACTTTATACATCCCTGACTGTACCTGTGACTTATAAACAACATCCCTGACTGTATCTGTGTCTTATAAACAACATCCTTGACTGTACCTGTGTAGTATACACACTTTATACTACATCCCTGACTGTACCTGTGCCTTATAAACAACATCCCTGATTGTACCTGTGTCTTATAAACAACATCCCTGACTGTACCTGTGTCTTATAAACAACATCCCTGACTGTACCTGTGTCTTATAAACAACATCCGTGACTGTATCTGTGTCTTATGAACAACATCCCTGACTGAACCTGTGACTTATAAACAACATCCCTGACTGTACCTGTGTCTTATAAACAACATTCCTGACTGTACCTGTGTCTTATAAACAACATCTCTGACTGTACCTGTGTAGTATACACACTTTATACTACATCCCTGACTGTACCTGTGACTTATAAACAACATCTCTGACTGTACCTGTAACAACATCCTTCTTCGACCATAATTGCATCGAAGAACAAAGTAAATTGTTTGAGAGTGTGTAGGTGGAAGCTGCAAGAATAATTAAACTTTTTATCTTATTAAGAACATTGTCATATGTTTTTGTATCAGTCTCTATCTTTCCTTTCTATTTTAAAAAGTGTTAACACACCGTATAACAAACGTGCAACGGTGGGTTGGGGTCAGGAATCCCGTCTTTCCATCTTTAGTGACCAAAATATACATAAGATTAATAAATTTATTGATTTTACTTTGTAGGACATTGCATAAAATTAGCTGAATTAAGTTGAAGCTTTTTTATATAAAACTATAAAGCCTAGGAGCTTCTTCGCTCCCACACTTGGTCTTGGTCTCCAACCATATACCGCCCCCTTTCGTGTTCAAGATTCCCATATCCACCACTGATATGTGCCCATGCATGCTTGCTAAGGCATATTCAACTGATTTAGACTGATATATAGATTTTTGTAATAGAATTCTGGCACTGGAATGGTTGAAAAAATTACTAATTCCAGTGAGGTAGCATCTTCTTTGAAAGAGGAGGCCAGCCAGAAAAAAAAATTTTACAAAAAAAACAGTCCTAATTTTTTTTCCAAGTATACTACATTACCCGTAGGGGACTATACTTCAAGGAAAAAGTGGGGACGGGGCTGTGCTTTCCATGAACATTACATTTTCTATGGTTTATACATGTATTCATATGGGAAAAGAGGGGGGCTGATATTATGTGCCTGAAATTCGTCCTAATCAATGAGGAGCCCCCCTTCTCTTACATAGGCAATTTAGCCACATATGATCCTCATATGCATTGCCTTTCATATGAGGATCATATGTGGCTCATATGAGAATCATATGTATATACAATCATATGAGAATCATATGTGGCTAATCATATGAGAATCATATGTTTGCACATATGTATATCATATGATCGTATTTACATATGATTCTCATATGAAAGGCCCTGCATATGAGAATCATATGTATATTTTGACAGTTGTCATATGAGAATCATATGAAACTGATCATATGAGAATCATATGAAACCATATTCACTAATTTGCCCTTGTTATACTCAGGTAAAAATCATATGAATATTTGGACAGTGATCATATGAGAATCATATGAAAGAGTGATCATTTGAGAATCATATGAAACAGTGTTCACTAATTTGCCTTTTCTTATATGCAAGTAAAATTGCAATTTCAATAATATATATCAATAGTAATTTAAATTTACATTAAGGTAGGATTCTTCTCTGGTTCCTGACTAGATGAAACATTCAAAGTATATTTGCTTATATGTCTTATATATTGAGGTGTAAGAAATTTAAAAGACAATATTTTTCTTTCCTCATCACAATTGTACAACTTTAAATAGAAATGGTAAACTGTGTTTGAAAACTAGCAGGCCGACTATATTTTTGGCGGAATGGTGGCGTATGAAAATATTTTCTTTTCTGCCTCTCAAAATTATAATAGAACAATGAATTTAGTTATTATTTTACACAATCAAAGACTTGGAGAAATTTTCAAATGTAAGTTAAATTAATAATGAGGAACTAAACTTTCAAAATATATCAAATAAATATGATTTTTCAAACAAACTAGAATTTTGTTAGCTTTTAAACGCTTCCTATCAAAGTGCAGATTTGAGCCAAAAATCCATTAAAAGTATTTTTTCTCTCTTAGTAAACGATCAAAACTTTTTGTTTTTATATCATTTTGTACATTTTTATTACTACTTTATCATACGTGAAAATAAGAAAAAGTTAAATATAGGAAGCATATAAAAAAACTAATATATCCTAAAAAATTAACAAAAACAGAGAAAATTCGGATTAGCCAATATCCAGTTAAGTTATATTATTTATGTAAATTTGGTAATATCATGCTATAGACCCGATATAGTAAAATGTTTTTATGCAAAAAGAACAATCTTTAAACTTTTGAAATAGAAGTAGTCACCACATGATTGGCAACAGTATTTTTTTATTCATAATGTCAAGGAAAAAGATAATGACCTTGACCTGACCTTGCCTCTAATATAAAACGGTCAAATTTAATTTCACTGATACTATCACTTACCGATATTGTCTTCTTGATTCTGTGAAAATTTCATTAATTTTTAAATATTAGAAATATGAGAAGAATCCTACCTTAATTCAAAAGAATTTGTTAGCAATTACTTATGTAAAGTTCTACTCTGTTCAACACCCCCCCCCCCCTTTCCCTTGAAAAAAAAGTTCACAATTTTTTTCTGTAATAATGCATTTCCCAGATAAAATTGATAAAGAATAAATTAATTTGCTTTTTATTTCAAATCTTTTGGGTTTGGTTTATTACAAGTAAAATCAAAATCATTCAGTATTTTTTTCCGGACCGGTTTTGACTTTTATCGGATGAAAGTGTACGTCATGTTTGACGTCACTGCTGCAGCAGAAGTGCTGGGTGTTGGAAAAAGTAACTTATCTCCTAACAGTTTTTTATAAAGACCTTTAATTCATATTGTTTAAATATCCTTTCATTACGGTTACAGGTTCGTATGAACTTATTTTTATAATACTCTCATCACTTGTATATAATTGTTAAATTAATGCATTTCGCAAACCTACATAATGTTAGTGATCTGTAAGTATATTTTGGATGAATTTGTTTCTCATTGGATGTAAACATTACAATATACATGTTAGGCTAAAGGCATCTTTTTGTTTTGACTTTTGTTACGTACTGATTTGAAAGTGAAAGTAGAAACCCTGTATAGCAGTTGGCGTTTTGTATGTTGAGATCGTTTATCAAGTCGATTCTTTCATCAACTTAATAAATTACAAATGTTTGTTTTTATGCCTATAGATGCATTTAACTTGAGTTCAGTGTCACAGTGCAGCTTTTTTATGAAGTCCACGAAGCCCAAAGCTGATAAGACCCCTAATGTAGATTTTCCAAAGGGTTTGGAAAAGTTTTGGAATTCCATGGAATTCCAATCATTTCTATACCAAACTCGAAAAGTGTGTCTGGAAGTTTATGGAATATTTTGGAAATTGAAAAAAAAATGGACTTAGACATTTTTTGGTTTGGAAAGTAGTGGAATTCTTTGGAAAAAATGATAAAATGAGAAACTTAGCCATTTTCTGCACTGGAAAACTGTGGAAAATTACTTAGAATTTTTTTAACTGTCGACTAATAGTACAATAACATCGATTTTCGAAGTCGGGCTCGATGAACAATTAATTTAAACAACACGCCGAAATTCAAAAATATCAAATGCCATGTTGATGTTGCACAGAAGGAAAGTTGGAAAGAGAGTGTCTAGAACAGGGGAATCATGATTAGCTTGGGATGGAAGAAGATGAAGACATTTTAAGACCCGGTAGGTACAATATTGTACAGTATTTTATGTGCCCTTGAATGAAGAACGCTTCTGCTACTGTTCATTAGTCTGGGCACCACACATAAAGATAAACTGCCCGATGGTGAAATCATTAGTGCACTATTTTAATTTTGTAATAATTATTTAATAACTCGAAACATATCGTTAAGATCATGGGTTTTAATCCGAATTTCTTCGTTTGGGATCGAACTGATGTAAAAAAATTTACCTTTACCTTCCTTTGTTCAAGATAACATTTACAGAGTATGATGTACAATGTGATTCATTATATATTTTTTAATGCATGGTCATGATCATTTTCAGCTTTTATTTTAATTATTTTATAGTTGCTGCATTGTGCCTGAGATCCCCAAAGCGCTGGCATTTGATAACTTGGTGGATGTAGATGCTTAGCCAATCAGTCACTAGGCTTGTGAACATGGTGAGAACTAGCTCAAATTATCATTCAAATCAAGTAAACTAACTTTGATTTTATTAATCCATGTCTATTAGTATTAGATTAGAAAAAAAAATATTGCAACTTTGCCAAGGAAACAAAATTTAAAGGTTTATATTCTTAACACGCTTAGATTCCTTATTCTAATAATTTAAAACATTATGAATTCTGACAGGTAATCTAAACATGCTAACTGCACAGGCATGCATAATTATTTTAGATCAAATAGCAATCATCTACTATGAAGTATACATGCATTTTACAGGAATCCGGATGCTCACAAGGAGAAGAGCTGTATGAAAAAAACCAAAAAGGTCAGATTTCTTAATTATTTTCTATTGTTTTGTATAGCTTTAGTTTATTATTAGCTCACCTGAGCCGAAGGCTCAACTGAGCTTTTCTGATCAAAATTTGTCCATCGTCTTTCGTTGTCGTTGTTGTTGTCGTTGTTGTAAACTTTTCACATTTTCATCTTCTTCTCAAGAACCACTGGGCCGATTTCAACCAAACTTGGCACAAAGTATCCTTGGGTAAAGGGGATTCAAGTTTGTTCAAATGAAGGGCCACGCCCTTTTCCAAAGGGAGATAATCATAAATTTGTTAAAAATTAATGGCATTTTTAAAAAATCATCTTCTCCAGAACCAATGGGCCAGGAAAAATGAAACTCATGTGGAACCATCCTCAGGTAATGAAGATTCAAGTTTGTTCAAATTATGACCCCCGGGGCAAGGGTGGGGCCAAAATGGTATTCCGACCCTAGTTTTACATAGGAATATATAGGAAAAATCTTTAAAAATCTTCTTCTCGTTTAGAACCACTGGGCCAGGAAAGATGAAACTCATGTGGAATCATCCTCAGGTAGTGTAGATTCAAGTTTGTTCAAATCATGACCCCCGGGGCAAGGGTGGGGCCAAAATGGCCGACCAGAGTTTTACATAGGAATATATAGGAAATATCTTTAAAAATCTTTCTCAAGAACCACTGGGCCAGGAAAGATGAAACTCATATGGAATCATTTTCAGGTAGTGTAGATTCAAGTTTGTTAAACAGTTTGTCATGACCCCCGTGGCTAGGGTGGGGGCCAAAATGGCCGACCCAAGTTTTTCATTAGGGATATATAGGGAAACCTTTTAAAATCTTCTTTTCAAATACTTCAAAGCTATGATTAGTGATATTTATATGGAATCATCCTCAGGTAGTGTAGATTCTAGTTTGTTCAAATGATGAACGCCTGGGGGGGGGGGGGGGAGTAGATTCAAGCCCGATGTGCTCAGGTGAGCGTTGTGGCCCCTGGGCCTCTTGTTTGTCATATGCTAGTATTTATATGGATATCAATAATGATGCATCTTAATGGTCATCTTTTCTTTCAGAAATTGTGCAAGGAAAGTTTGAAGTGTCTGTGGGTATTATCAACATCCAACTTTCTGAGCCTTCATACTGAAAGTGAATCTGTTCCTGACACCAGTTATCTGTCAACCCTCTAACATGACCATTTACTAATTTCGTGGGATATCAGTGAGGAAGTGATTCTCTTGCAAACACGTCAGAAGTTTTGGATCTTCATTAATCGGGATCTTTGGAACGTACATTGGGGGAAAATAGCATCTGTTGATTTTATGGGATCTTTGTATCAATATAGTCGTGTAGACTAGTACATATTTTTTGCATTAAATACATGTGTTTGTCACTCTAGTCATTATTCATTAACTTTGTACCAGTACATAAGCCACTGGCAGTTCATTGTAAATGTATACCCTGTTGAGGTTTCAATGGCCTCTTCAATTCCATGACCAATGTCATTTAATAAAACTAACTTCTTATTTTAGAAAATGTAGACTGGAGTTTATTAAATACATGTATATCATAACATGATTATCATTAATTTAACCAAGGTGATTCTCCAGTAATCATATTTTTCTCTGGATATTTTTGTAAATAACCTTAAGCTTTGATGTAAAAATACTTTCAGTGAGAATACATTTAAAAAATGTGCTTAGATTATACATCTGAGAGTATATGCAATATTTGTCTCAAAAAACACTGTAAAAGAAACAATGAATTTTTTTTATTTTGAAAATATAGAGTTGATCTATGAAAAATTTTGATGTTATTAGTTTTTTTGTAATTATGTGGCACTTATTGTTTCAGTTTTCATTGTACATGTATTTGGAATTTGGAATCCTGGAATTCCATGGATTTCCATGGAATCCTGGAATTCCATGGATTTCCATGGAATTCTTTAAATTTACAAATATCCTGGAATTCCACGGATTTCCTCCGCAAATTTCCATTGTGGCATTGTTCCGCTATTTTCCAGGCTAGATTCAAAATTCCAAATCATTCCGAAAAAAGTTCCATCCCAATACTCCGGAGAATTCCTTAGATTCTGCAGTGAGGGTGAAACTCCATGGAATTCCATGGAATATGCCTTGGAATTCCATGGAAGTTGCGGAAAATCTACATTAGGGTCTGGCGATTGATCCTGAAGCTGATTCTGACAGACGATTGCATCATCACAATATTAAAGGTAAAAATATTGCAATAAAAAATGAAAGTGTACATCTTTAATGACTCCTTTATGACAAAATATTTCTTGATAATTTCTTTTTGTTCCTTTATAATTCTACATTGTTTGCACGGCTTCATCAAAAATAAATTCAATAATATAGAAGTTTTATTCTACATTATGAAACAATTTTAATTGTAAATGCACTTTTAAAATATGGAAGGTATGAATAGAATTTTCTTGCTTTAAAAGCTATGAAACTATACAATTACTTCAGGGGGTAAATTGAATTTTTGAATCTCAGCAAAAAATTAATAATAACAGTGGCAACTTTCAAGGTACAAATACATGTGCATGTGCATGTGACTATGTGTTGAAAGTACATCAGATAGCTAATCCATTGAATATTTACATCTATGTATTCATTGACATTTATAATTTTTTTTCCAACACTAGAGAACCTAGTTTCAGGTGAATTGTAAGATATTTAGGACAATTGAGAACCTACAAACTTGTACTCTCTCTTTTTGTAGTTTAAGTTTTAGTTATGCTTAGAAAATATCTACTGTGTGAATATTTGTTTTACAGGTTCAATATACAGTCAGCCTCTCATCAGAAAAAATCCAAAGATCCAAGGCTTGCTTCAAAGTTAAGGTAACTACACACTGTTTAATAGACTTTGTAATATTCTTCCCAACAAAGTCTGGGATATCCTGGAATCACAAAGTCTGTTTTTTCTGCCTATTTGTGTCATAATCTTTTTTTGGCAATTTGAATTAATATATACTATTTGAACATTCCAAATTCAATTGTCAAAATAAAAAAAGTTGCTTTTTTATGATTTTAATATGAAGCATATCTTCCAAAAGTGTAATTGTCTTGCAAAATTCAATTCAATTGTTAAAATTAAAAAAAATGCTTTTTATAATTTCATTATGAAGCATATCTTCCAACAGTGTAATTGTCTTGCAAATTACATCATAGGATTCCACAAAACAACTTGTATAACATATAGAAATTAGTTTTATCTCATATCATATCTGTGTCGGTGAATTGGGAATACATTTGTTTGCTGATGATAAGTTACTTTAATATAACTTGTAGAATTGATTTTGTAATTTAAGAATCATTTTATTTTTATTTTTGAAATTTTTGTAGAGACCATTCTGTGCCACAAAGAAATTGTTTAGGAAGGGGAGAACTGGTGGATTTGCATTTTTGGTACAGTTCAAAGAGATTTTCAAAATGGTCAGATCAGAGGGAGGACAACTGAAAATAATGGAGATACAGAAGGAAAAAGAACAAGGAAATATATGAAATAATTATGAAATGGGAGGATGTACACAATTTTGTCTGAATTTGACCTGTAAAGATTTTCCATTCTTATTTGTATGCTGGAATATCAAATAACTTGATTTTTCATAAATTTAAATTAGAGAATACATGACAAATGTTATTGCTGATATTTCAATTTTCATGTCATATGGTATTTTTATACAAGTTCATGACCTAATAATGTTATTCATTTGTACAAGTATACACATTTAACTACTCAATCATTTTGCTGAAATCGTATAATTTGTACTCATTTTAGAATATGTTAAATACATGTATCGACAAACGCTACTGACTTGTTTGTATATTTTCTTGTTTAGAAAGTACACTGTGAAAAATAAGTTATTTCTCTTGATGAAAATAATTTTATCAAAAAAGTTGTGTAAGCATTATAAGATATTTTAAGATATGTAACCAATGAAGATATATCATTTTAATGTAATGAATTTTCATCTGAAGCAGAAATATCTGATTTTTAAATGTGTACAAGAATGTGAAAAATATTGAAAGAGAACACACATAAGTGTTTCATATGATTTACATATGATGCCCTTTTCATATGATTCTCATATGTAAATGGCTTGAAACACACATAAGTGTTTCATATAATTTACATATCATGCCCTTTTCATATGATTCTCATATGTAAATGGCTTGAAACACACTTAAATCATTCATATGTGAATCATATGTAGTTATTTTCATATGATCCACATATGTGGATCATATGTAAATCATATGATTTGCTTCATATGATTCACATATGATGCCCTTTTTCTATGATTCTCATATGAAACCAATCATATGAGAATCATATGATACTCATATGAGAATCATATGTGGTACAGTCAGGGATGTTGTTCATAAGACACAGGTACAGTCAGGGATGTAGTATAAAGTGTGTATACTACACAGGTACAGTCAGGGATGTTGTTTATAAGTCACAGGTACAGTCAGGGATGTAGTATAAAGTGTGTACTACAGGTACAGTCAGGGATGTTGTTTATAAGTGACAGGTACAGTCAGGGATGTTGTTTATAAGACACAGGTACAGTCAGAGATGTTGTTTATAAGGCACAGGTACAGTCAGGGATGTAGTATAAAGTGCGTATACTACACAGGTACAGTCAGGGATGTTGTTTATAAGTCACAGGTACAGTCAGGGATGTTGTTTATAAGACACAGGTACAGTCAGGGATGTTGTTTATAAGTCACAGGTACAGTCAGGGATGTTGTTTATAAGACACAGGTACAGTCAGGGATGTTGTTTATAAGACACAGGTACAGTCAGGGATGTTGTTTATAAGACACAGGTACAGTCACGGATGTAGTATAAAGTGTGTATACTACCTAGGTACAGTCAGGGATGTTGTTTATAAGTGACAGGTACAGTCAGGGATGTTGTTTATAAGGCACAGGTACAGTCACGGATGTAGTATAAAGTGTGTATACTACACAGGTACAGTCAGGGATGTTGTTTATAAGTCACAGGTACAGTCAGGGATGTTGTTTATAAGACACAGGTACAGTCAGGGATGTAGTATAAAGTGTGTATACTACACAGGTACAGTCAGGGATGTTGTTTATAAGACACAGGTACAGTCAGGGATGTTGTTTATAAGTCACAGGTACAGTCAGGGATGTAGTATATAGTGTGTATACTACACAGGTACAGTCAGGGATGTTGTTTATAAGTCACAGGTACAGTCAGGGATGTAGTATAAAGTGTGTATACTACACAGGTACAGTCAGGGATGTTGTTTATAAGTCACAGGTACAGTCAGGGATGTTGTTTATAAGACACAGGTACAGTCAGAGATGTTGTTTATAAGGCACAGGTACAGTCAGGGATGTAGTATAAAGTGTGTATACTACAGGGTACAGTCAGGGATGTTGTTTATAAGACACAGGTACAGTCAGGGATGTTGTTTATAAGACACAGGTACAGTCAGGGATGTTGTTTATAAGACACAGGTACAGTCAGGGATGTTGTTTATAAGACACAGGTACAGTCAGGGATGTAGTATAAAGTGTGTATACTACCTAGGTACAGTCAGGGATGTTGTTTATAAGTGACAGGTACAGTCAGGGATGTTGTTTATAAGGCACAGGTACAGTCAGGGATGTAGTATAAAGTGTGTATACTACACAGGTACAGTCAGGGATGTTGTTTATAGTGACAGGTACAGTCAGGGATGTTGTTTATAAGACACAGGTACAGTCAGGGATGTAGTATAAAGTGTGTATACTACACAGGTACAGTCAGGGATGATGTTTATAAGTCACAGGTACAGTCAGGGATGTAGTATAAAGTGTGTATACTACACAGGTACAGTCAGGGATGTTGTTTATAAGACACAGGTACAGTCAGGGATGTTGTTTATAAGACACAGGTACAGTCACGGATGTAGTATAAAGTGTGTATACTACACAGGTACAGTCAGGGATGTTGTTTATAAGACACAGGTACAGTCAGGGATGTTGTTTATAAGACACAGGTACAGTCAGGGATGTTGTTTATAAGACACAGGTACAGTCAGGGATGTTGTTTATAAGACACAGGTACAGTCAGGGATGTAGTATAAAGTGTGTATACTACCTTGGTACAGTCAGGGATGTTGTTTATAAGTGACAGGTACAGTCAGGGATGTTGTTTATAAGGCACAGGTACAGTCAGGGATGTAGTATAAAGTGTGTATACTACACAGGTACAGTCAGGGATGTTGTTTATAGTGACAGGTACAGTCAGGGATGTTGTTTATAAGACACAGGTACAGTCAGGGATGTAGTATAAAGTGTGTATACTACACAGGTACAGTCAGGGATGATGTTTATAAGTCACAGGTACAGTCAGGGATGTAGTATAAAGTGTGTATACTACACAGGTACAGTCAGGGATGTTGTTTATAAGACACAGGTACAGTCAGGGATGTTGTATATAAGACACAGGTACAGTCACGGATGTAGTATAAAGTGTGTATACTACACAGGTACAGTCAGGGATGTTGTTTATAAGACACAGGTACAGTCAGGGATGTAGTATAAAGTGTGTATACTACACAGGTACAGTCAGGGATGTTGTTTATAAGTCACAGGTACAGTCAGGGATGTAGTATAAAGTGTGTATACTACACAGGTACAGTCAGGGATGTTGTTTATAAGACACAGGTACAGTCAGGGATGTGGTATAAAGTGTGTTTACTACACAGGTACAGTCAGGGATGTTGTTTATAAGTCACAGGTACAGTCAGGGATGTTGTTTATAAGTGACAGGTACAGTCAGGGATGTTGTTTATAAGTGACAGGTACAGTCAGGGATGTTGTTTATAAGACACAGGTACAGTCAGGGATGTTGTTTATAAGACACAGGTACAGTCAGGGATGTTGTTTATAAGACACAGGTACAGTCAGGGATGTTGTTTTTAAGACACAGGTACAGTCAGGGATGTTGTTTATAAGACACAGGTACAGTCAGGGATGTTGTTTATAAGACACAGGTACAGTCAGGGATGTTGTTTATAAGACACAGGTACAGTCAGGGATGTTGTTTTTAAGACACAGGTACAGTCAGAGATGTTGTTTATAAGTCACAGGTACAGTCAGGGATGTTGTTTATAAGTCACAGGTACAGTCAGGGATGTTGTTTATAAGTCACAGGTACAGTCAGGGATGTTGTTTATAAGTCACAGGTACAGTCAGGGATGTTGTTTATAAGTCACAGGTACAGTCAGGGATGTTGTTTATAAGTCACAGGTACAGTCAGGGATGTTGCTTATAAGTCACAGGTTCAGTCAGGGATGTTGTTTATAAGGTACAGGTGCGATCAGGGATGTAAAATAATTTGTCTATACAAGACAGGTTGCCAGTCAGGCATGAACGAGAATTTAGAAATTGTAGAGTTGTCAGGACAGGTACAGTAGTGGAAGTTTCATCACAAGCAATATTAATTTAATAACGATTTCGAAAGTTATAAATATAATTATTTATATAGCACCGCATTTCCTTAAATATGAACAATGGTTTTTCTACGTACCATATGCCATGTATTTTCAATCACATCGCGGTTATATATCGTCCAGTCAGGATGTCAATCATTTGTGGTTCCATGCATATTATATATATAATTTTTTTCTCTTTTTAGAATTTTTTCTGATTTTCTTGTAACCTATTTAACAACTTGCTACCTGTGTTTAGTAAACTCTGTGTACTTAGTTAGCACATATAAATGAAGGTTTTTGACAGGATTTTTTTTTTTTCACTACATTAGACTTCCCGTGTGGCACTTGAAATGTTTGTTAATTATTAACACATTTAATTAATTAAAACGCATAGATCAGTAAATTCCATCCGCATATACATGATTCGGTTTATAAATGATTCATCATTCCAGCACTGAGAATAAAAGTAGGATAATCATGCCGCCAGCGCCACCACCATCACTCCTTAAAAAAATGATATACCCAGCTCATATTGATCTCTCATCATATATTTAAAAGCTTTAATTAATACATCTGTAAATTTTTGGATCCTTCCCTCAACACTGTTGACAGCGTTTGTCTAATACATGTATAAACATTAGCGTTTAATAGCGTTTTGATTGAATTCAATCTACATCTATACCGTAGAAAGTCCTCAGAAATTCTTCTCATATTACTAATAATAAGACACACTTGCTGTCATGGAAGTTAAACAAAGTATGTAATCTATCATTATTACTGTGAGCCAGGTGTTGTTAATCAATCGCGGGCATTCGCGGCTAGTTATCATGACGCTTTGGCGATCACAGCCCTCCACAACGTAGATTTAATTGAAACCAGAATTTTTTTTCTTTCTTCCATATTAACACATTGATTATTTTCATTCAAAAAGCATCCGTAATATTAACGAGATATAATTCAAATGTTGGTTAATCCGAAAATTTTTGCTCTGACTATTAGTGAACAGGTACAGTCGTGGATGTCCGGTACCAGCAGTGCCGAGTACAGTCGCGGATGTAGGCTGACAGACACTGATGACGCAAGATGTTCACAAGTACGAAAACCCATTGGTATACATGTAACTATTGCAGATGGAGAAAACAAAATGATGTGCGAAGGGGACGGGTACCTGTAAAGTGCGAAACGAAATAGAAACGAAACGAAACGAACTGAAACGAAATCTACCGAAACGAAACGAAATGAAATGAAATGAAAACAAAACCTACCGAAACGAGACAAAACTTTCAAATCAAGAATTATAATTATATATGAGTAACTGCATCTGGATTTTTTGTCTACTTCATATAAAATTTATATACGAGGGTTGATCCAAAAGTAATGTCACAACCTTGATAAAATTGCTACCAATCGACGTAAAACAACAAAATTATAAATAATGAAAGCGCTGTATTTATTTCTAATCAGACCTGAAAAATTCAAAGGAATATGATGTATACTTTCCAAAATATCGGATTATAAACAATGTGCGTTTATGGGAGTCGCCGCATCTAAATATAACGTCATATGACGGATACCGCCGTCATACTTTTAAGCATTTCCTAATCGTTTCATTAAACATATTTGAGATGTGCAAACACTTTCACCAATTTCAATCACTTTCTTTAAGAATTCTTGGTACCCATCATACATTCACTCTTTTCATGATTAAGCCCTCTGTCAAATTTTTTTGAACAGTAGCATAAGACAAACTTAAAAATTCACATGTCACTCTATCCGTCTGTCTTTTTTGACAACAGTCAAGGAGACACCATTGAATGTTTCCGTTCGACTTCCTATCTTTCGGTCTTCTTGTCCTCTGCTAGTCATTCAATGACCCTTCACCAGCCCAAAATTGCTGAAACCATCTATAAAGAAGTCTCTTATTTACATTTTTTTTCTGTGTGTCTGATTAATAAACGTACCTGTCGCCAGTGACTATTCCCACATTTTGAAGCAAAAATGCATTACAGCTAGTCAAGGCGTTTTTCTTCCCATTTCGACAATTCCTTTGTTCAATTCAACAGCGTAAAACAATAATGTTGATGATCACAAATACCAATGCCGTAATTTAATTTTCAATTAAAGATTAGAAAATGATGTGAATTATGTCTTTAAAAAAATGGTATATATTATGCGCTTTTTAGAATCTTTTGAATGTGTTTGTCTTTTTCATTCTAAGAAAAAATACACTTAAAAACGAGACGTTCATTTGTGACGCGGCGACACCCCATATGCTCCATGTTTTAAACATCAATGAAATAGACTCAAATAAACATTATTAAATGAAAATTTCAATGTTAATTAGATTTATATTTGTCATCTTTTGGTATCTAATATATGATGATATGACGCCAAATATAAAAAAAATATGGATACTGTGACATTACTTTTGGATCAACCCTCGTAGTTAAAGCACTTGCATGTATACACCGATATTTAAGGCTTCCGTCTTTGAAATTTGGAAAAAATTGTTTACAGACAGACAGACAAATACACAGACAGATGGACGACAGACACCTAACTATCGCATAAGCTCTTCTGTTCTCTGACCAGTATAGCTAAAAATGACATCATTCACTTTGAGAGACTTCTTTCTTGTTAATTAAATCGTTTTAGATGTCTTTGGTCGAGCTTCTTTATTGTAAACCACTTATTTATTTCTCGGAAATTTCCTCGATTCAAATTAAGACCGTATACGTTGATAGGATACACAAGCTTCTGGCTGGGGTAATAAGTGAACGATGAAACCAGAGACCTCGGAATGGAATACTCGAAAATCTCTAGTTTTATCCTATATTCAAGAAGGCTGGGGTCAACAAATTAACCACCAGATTTAACTTATTTTTTTTTTAAAAAATATGATATCTTAAGCTGTCAAAAATAATTTGACAGAGAAAAATTGCATACATTTTAGTTTTAAAATTTGATCATTTTTATATATCTTGATAGGGAACTTTTCTTCTAAAGGAGGTCATACTAGTCTGAAAATGGCCAAAACCCCCATATCCCCTTTAAAGACATTTGCAAAACAACAGTACAGTAACTATAGTTCGACCCTAAACGAGTCTTTACATTTAACACATTTTGATAAATATGATATATCATTATATCTATATGAATAAGGGCTGAAGATAATTATCAGACATAAAAATTAGAAATTCCTATACATATTGAAAATATACATGCATAGTATGCTCGCGCATATTTGCAGTTGGTAGCAGTTCATACATGCAAATTGTACATCAGTAGAGAAGGGAGCATAATTTATCGATGTTTAATTTTATATTAACAAGTGCTTGAACTATATATAATTTTCTATGAAGTAGAAAAATCCACATGCAGTTACACATATATAAATGTACCTTGATTTAAAAAAAAAAAATTTTGAAAATTAATGTTTCGTTTCGTTTCGTTTCGATAGGTTTCGTTTCGGTAGATTTCGTTTCGTTTCAGCAGATTTCGTTTCGTTTCGCACTTTACAGGTAACCCGAAGGTGACAGGTAATGTTTAACACTTCCTGATTAATATTCTATCATGAATATAAATATCTGATTTTAAAAGCTTTTTCCTTTGTATAGAGGTAAATAGCGTAAAAAAATCATTGCCACATGTATCTTGAGTAAAATTTAAAGTATAAATCCATATTTGATAAACAATTACGAAATATATACAGGAATCTAGTAAAACCTGCAAATAAGAATTATGCATATTTTCTTAAAAATATATATTTTATTTTTTTTATTTTCATATAAATGATCATTTGTACTTTTTTGACGATCCTTCAAAAACAAACAGCTGTATTATTTAGCAAAAGGATGCTTCATTGAGCATGCAATGCTCTTGCACGTTTGCAAATTTATTTTTAAATTATAGCACTGTTGTAACTTTTAAAGATTTGAGATATTTCAACCCCGCTTCTACCCAAGTTGTGGGCAGGCAGTTTATCGACGTTCCTATTTTTTATATTTGTATTTACATTAGGGGTATGTCATGTTTTATACACGTTTTCCATGATATCTCTAGGCATTTTGGTTCCCTATCTGTTGATTTTTGTAGATTTATATCTATATGTTATATCAAAAGGAGTCGTGACTGTGTTCAGCACCACGTATTTTATTACAATAGTTATATTTTTTTTATGAATGACCTTGTGATTTGTTTTTATCTTTCTGTCATTTACAAAATAAATGGTGTTTTTATGGTGAGTATGATATAAGAGATACTACATAGTTTGACACATCTATTTCATATTTGGATATTTAATTGGGAAAAGACGTTAATCTAACAACCAAGACGATGATCTAACAACCAAGACGAT